CAAAACTGGTTATAAAATGGTCCACAACCCAGTTAACCACTGCTTTGCTTAGCAACTAAAATCCTGGTTCCAGTTGTGGACGTAAGTCGAGGACTATTGGGTTCCAATTGCGTAGAACATCTACAGAAAACATTGTTCTAGCTGCCAAGACGACAATGGCACCAGTGAACATTATTGGATACTTATGGGCTTGGATGAACCTAGGAAAAAGTTTATGATAGAATTGGAAGGGACCTTGGAGGTCTTCTAGTCCAACCCCCTGATCAAGCAGGAGACCCTATACCATTTCAGACAAATGGCTGTCCAATCTCTTCTAAAAAAATTTCCAGTATTGGAGCATCCATAACTTCTGGAGGCAAGTGGTTCCACTGGTTAATTGTTCTCACTGTCAGGAAATTTCTCCTTAGTTCTAGGTTGCTTCTCTCGTTGATAAGTTTCCATCTGTTGCTTCTTGTCCTGCCTTCAGCTGCTTTGGGGAAGAGGTGACCCCCTTAGATATTCTTACCCTGTCCTCGGGTGCTTTAGAGACCCCCAAACATTTTGGCACCAGGGACCAGTTTTGTGGAAGACAATGTTTCCCACAGACGGGGGGAAGGGAGCGTGCAACCTAGATCCCACATAGGCACAGTTTCGCTCGCCTGCTGCTCACCTCCAGCCTGGGGCCTGGTTCATAATAGACTGTGGACCGGTACTGGTCCACAGCCCAGGGGTTGGGGACCCTTACTTTAGAGAATACGCCGTTCCCTCTTTTCTGTGACTGCCCCTCCAATATTGGAAGACTACTACCATATCACGGAAGGCAAACCATTTCCTCTGACTCTGCCTTCCATTCAGACACGTGGGGTTTAAACATTTCTAGCAGCCCCTGAGGTAAATCCGCTCATAGGAGACCACTATGTCACCTGCCATTTTCCCTTTACCCCATGCCACCACCTTCTGCCATTTTTCTGGACATTTCCAGTTACAGCCGACGTTAATCCTTACTCGCATTGTTTCGGAAAGCGAACAGACATCTGAGCAAAACTGGATCTCACGTTTCCTCATGCAGAGAGCAAGGGGAGGAGAGAAAAAAGAAAGGAGAACACATTTATTTCAGTTTAAAAGTAGGAATGGGGGGGGGGGTGAGTTCCTGGACAAAGGAATGCATATTTGTGCCCGCTTGAAAGGGAACAGAAAAGCAGCCGCATTTTAACTCAAATCCATTTTAACTCAAATCCGTGCCCAGGGAAGGTGGGTTAGTTTTCTTAGTCACTGCTCCACAGGGGAGAAAAAAAAAAACCTCAGATCCCAATTATTTTCTCGGAATCACAGGGGGAAAAAACAAAACAAAAACGCAACTCTGCTCCTTTCCTTCCAGCTCTCCTGCCTCAAACTTCAACCCCCTTAAACGAGAGAGAGAGAGAGAGAGAGAGAGAGAGAGAGAGAGAGAGAGAGAGAGAGAAAGAAATCGCAATTCTAAGCAGTGCCATTAAAATACCTCCGCCTGAGTCCGCCACACTTCTACCAACCTGTTGTTTTACAGGGTGTGTTTCCTGCAGTTGTTGCTTTGACTCTGCTTGTGGCTTTCTTGCAGGATTACCATTAGCGCTGTTGCATTTATTCCCTTCATCCTTGCTTCCATAAGCCCCCCCGCCCCCCCGGAACAATGGATGGAAAATCACTTCTAAATAAATATATCTTTAAAAAAAAAAGAGCTTCCTAAGAAGTGATTGCTCACACATTCCACAGAACACCATTTATTTTTTTATTTTTTTATTTGTTTGTTTATTTTATTTATTTATTCTCTCTCTCTCTCTCTCTCTCTCTCTCTCTCTCTCTCTCTCTCTCTCTCTCGTCTTTCCCAAAAATGCTAAAACTGTTTAAAAAAAAAATCCTTCCTAGGGGAATAAATGGATTTTGGGAAGATCGACACAAACCTATATTTTTGTCCACTTCTTCAGCAGACACACTTTTTAGCCCGGATTTCTACAGCTGTAAAGGAGGCAAAACCTGATCAATTCTTTTTTTTTTTTCCCCTTTGCTGTGATTTTCCTATTGCAGCCAGAGGGAAGGAAAAAAAACCACCCACAGCCTTGTGCATTGCCATACAGGGAGACCTACACCCAGCCACCCCAGCGATGCCTCGACGGGTTTCTGAATAAAAGATGCAACATTCAACTACTAGACTCTCATCGTGAGCTTTCTCGACCAGAAAGCCTCGTGCTATTTCCAGCAGATGCTTGCAGCATGCTGGCCAAACTGCTTTCTAACGTAACAGGATTTGCAGCAGCAGCAACAACAAAAAAATCTCCAAATCTTCAGACATCCAGAAATGATCTTGAAAACATGCAAGAGGCAGGCATCTCAAACCCAACCTGGAAGACCCAAGAATGCCAAGCCACCTAAAAGAGTGAGCAATGCAGAAAAGAAACGATGTCCTTTTGCTCATAGATGAAATAAGAATAATCACAAAGAAATATCTTTAGCTTCATTATAGGTCTGGGCTGCAGAAATCCTGACCTTCACTAGGTGGTAGCAAAGATTGGGGGGAGGGAGAGAGAGAGAGAGAGAGAGAGAGAGAGAGAGAGAGAGAGAGAGAGAGAGAGAGAGAGAGATTACGTCTCTTTGCTGCCATCTAAAGGTCATTAAGAGTTTTGCAGCCCCAATGTCACAGCTCCCCATGCCTCAACTTTGCTCATGTTGCATATTTTAAAGATAGCAACAGTTCTTCCTTGTTCCTTCTTTTCTTTAAGTTCTATTTAGCATGCAGAAGAAAGTCTATTTTCTACAACTGCCTGATTTTTTTTATTATTATTATGAAACATTGCAAAACAGCTTATAGGCTACGAAGAAGAAAAACACCCCTCACGAAAGGTGTTTTGTTCCAGTAAAGCTACCCAAACAAATTTGGAGGAGACAAATGTGTTAATATAGCTTCAGGAGGCACCTATGGATGGTGCTGCTTCCTAGATTTCTGGACAGGCTTAATGCAAGCCATGTATCCCGGCTTCATTTGCCATGTATGTTTGCATTTAAGATAGGGAGAACCTCTTGGCCCAACTGCAGGGAGACCACCCACCCACTTTCTTGGAAGGGAGTTACATTTAAAGGCTTGGCAAGTCAACTTGCATTTTATTTGACTGTACAACGGCATTTTTTTTTTAAAAAAAAATTGGGTAACACAGTTTTGCCTTTTGTGAGTGTATGTGTGTTCCTCTTCAGCTGTGTCCAGGCTAGCAAGGAAAGGGTATTGTTTCAATGAATTGAACCAGACTGGTTCAAAAATCAGTTTTTCTAGAAATCCAAGACAATATTTCACAACATTCCTGGAAATTTTTTTTTATTTTTTTTTAAAAAGAAATCTACTTTGCAGTTAAGAAGAACTGAACTAGACTGGTTCAAAAATCAGCTTTTCTAGAAAGCCAAGACAATATTTCACAGCATTCCTGGAATTTTTTTTTTTTTTAAAGAAATCTACTTTGCAGTTAAGAAGAATTCAGTCCCATTCAGTGTCTCCAGCCAGACTGAACTATAGTGAATTGTTTTGCAAAATGTTATTCCTCTGATCTGAAACAGAAAAGGACCCCTCAGCAGAAGACAAGGATAGCAACCTAACATCAACCTTTCTGAATCAGAGATCTAACCACCATTCTCTCTTTTAACCCTTTCACTCTCTCTTTGGTTAAAGTACCAGGCAAACTTTCCCAAGTTTGGGCTGGCAGACCCCCCCTCGGCAGAAATCCAAAATAAAGAACAACTTCAGCGAGGTGATGATATAAATAAGAAACTCCAGCTTGGATCAATTACATTTGAATCTCAGCACGCACAACTTTTCTTTTTTTTTTTCTTGTGTAACAACAACCAAGGGATCCTCTCTGTAAAATAAGGCGGCGGCGGGGGGGGGGGGGAAGTTCCACATAAAATTAGCCCAGAAGGGAAAGCTTCACTCCAATTTTCACTTTCGGTGGCAATACAGGCTGGGCCAAAACCCAACCTTAAAACAAAGACACCCGATTCCTTAGAGATCGAATCTCAAGGCTTGGCCACTAAAGGTGATCCACCAGATCTCAGTGCCAGCAGACTGGAGTTCCGCCACCCTTGATCCAGAAGTCAACAGATTCAGACCACAGACAGCAAAGATAGGCAGAAGGTTTCACGCCCCCCCCCCGGAGTGAGAGGGGAAGGAACGGGAGGGGGGAGAGATGGGGGGGGGGGCTTAAGTTCCCTAAGGGAAGATCTGAAAGAACTTGGGGATCTATTACTTCGGGATAGATCTGGGAACACTCCCCCTGGCCCTTTCTTGATTCCTCCACTGCCAGAAATATATATATATCTAGGAATCGACTCTCCTTCAAAACCAGCCTCTCTGCTTTAGAAAGAGAGAGGTGTTGTAAGCCAGCCGGATCCCTACGTTACCAGGGATCCCGCAGGTTGCCTCGCCCGCCTCCCGCAACCAGCCATTCCCCCCCCCCCGCGTCTGAATCCTCCGGAAAACTGCACGGATGGTGCTCGTTCAAAGAGGAGGAGAAGATGGCCCATCTCCTCTCCAACACACACACATACATGCATGTATGAATGGAGGGAGGGGTCGTGAAGGAGCGATCCAAGCCATTGCAGAAGGTCGGCAAGGATCGGCTCCCACCCCAAAGCCGCCCACCCCCCCTCCTCCACCCCCCCACCCCGCCTTAGGCAGAAACCCCAGGATGGGCAACGGCGTGGACTGCGGGTCCAGGAGATGGGATTTTTAGATATTTTTTTTTTCTCCCTCCGAACCCCGAAAAACCACTGTATTGCAGTATAAAACGATCCCGCGGCGGAGGGAGGGGGGGGGAGGAGGAGGAGCGGGAGATCGCGAGAGATCTGGGCTGATCTCTTTAAATCAGGCGAAGGGGGGGGGGGAAGGGAGCTTTAGAGGTGGAGGACGAGGCGATGGGGGGGGACGGGAGTCGAGGATGGAGAGCTAGTTGCAACCCCCCCCATACACACATACCGAAAGCCCCCCCCCTCCTCGCCAGGCTTACCAGCTTACTGCGGCGGTCGCGATCCTCCAGCCAGGGCGGTGGGATGGGATGGGCGACGCGGCGGCGGGGAGGGGGGAGGTGGGGGGGCTCGCCAGCTGCCCCGGCGCTCCGTCCCCCCAAAGTAGCCGTGGGAAAAGGTGGGGGGGAGGAGAAGAGGGGGTGGCCACAAAAAGAGAGACCCCCCCCTTCTAAACGGAGTGCCAGGAAGGGCAGCGCTTCATCCTAGAAAAGCAGGCGAGGAGGCTCCAGCGCCGTCTCCCTCCCCCACCCCTAAAAAAAAAAAAAGGAAGAAGAAGAAGAAAAATTCAAAAGAATCGCCCTTTTCCCGGGTCAGGATTTCTTCTCCCAAGGCTGATTATTTCTCTCTCTCTTTTTCTCTCTCTCTCTCCTCCCCAGGTCGTCGGCACCAGCTCCAACCGCGAGTCGCGTTCAGCCGCTGCTCTGCCGATCGCCGCTTCTCTTATACACATACACACGCAGGAGGGAGAGAGAGAGAGAGGGAGGACGGGGGGGGGGGGAGACGCCGAGAGAGCCGGGAGCGAGCCAGGCAGCCGGCCCGGTGCGCGTTCCCACGCGCGCCCCCGCCCACGCGCGCTCTTGCAGACGTTCACTCTCACTCACACACTCTCACTCTCGCGGGCACGTACGCAGGTCCCGGCAGGTTAACGTGAATGAGAAGCCGAGCGGGTGGGCACGCCTCCCCCTTTCTCCCCCTCCTCACACCCCCCCCTGCTCCCCGCATCCTGCACGCGTGCTAAAGCCGGCCTGCACCATTCACACGACCACAAAGGGGGAAAAAAAATAAAGAAAAGAAAGAAACGGAGGGGGGGGGAATCGTTGAGCTCGCTGCTTAGTTCGCAGAGGGTGGGACTCGAGAGGTGGGGGAAGGGGGGGTCCCCCCTACTTTAAGTCTCCTTTCTCCATGCACCCCCTCTTTCCCCCGTCCCACCGCAAACTCGGCACACGTAACCAGCGAATGGGCAACTCCGGGGGTGCCTTTGCTGCTTTTTGCCCCTATGGAGGTGCGGAGATCGAGCTGGGAAACGCAGGATCGGAACCCAGAGCCCCTCTTCACAGCCTCTCCGTAAAGGGTGTCAAATTCATCCTGGAAACCCCAGGGTCAAAAATTGGTGGTGGTGGTGGGTGGTGCATCGGCCACAGCACCTATTTGGGTAGAATGCAGGTAGTCCTTGACTTACGACCGGAATTGAGCCCAACATTTCCGTCGCTAAGCGAGGCGGTTCAGTGAGTCTTGCCCCGTTTTTATGACCTTTCACTTGTTAAAGGGAACGGCTGTAGTCAGGAAGTTAAGAGAATCTGGCTTCCCCATTGGTGTCGCTTGTCGCAAAAGGGGATCACGTGATTTCCCCGGGGACACTGCGACCGTCATAAATATGAGTCAGTTGCCAAGGGTTGAAATTTTGATCACCTGACCACAGGGATGCTGCAAAAGGCCGTAAGGGTGAAAAATGGTCATCCGTGCCCCAGTTCGGTGGGATGGTTGCTAAATGAATTGCCAGGGACTATGATGATAATGATGATGATAATGATAAAGTCGGAAGGGACCTTGGAGGTCATCTAGCCCAACCCCATGCTCAGGCAGGAAAAAAAGCATGTCAGAGTTAAAATACCAGAATGGTTCATAGCTAAACAAAATTAATACTCATTTGTTCCTGTGTTGCCTTCACTGTCTGATATATGATGCAGAGTGTATAAATATTACTCAATTTTGCAGTCTCTGTGTTTATTCACCACATTTAATAGCAGGAGAGAACTTATTCTAATTGGGTAATCCTCGGCTTATGACCACAACTTTAAGCCAGACATTGTTAAGTGCATTTTGCCCCATTTGATGGCCTTCCTTGACACATTTTATAATAATAATAATAAAGTTGGAAGGGATCTTGGAGGTCATCTAGCCCAACCCCCTGCTCAGGCAGGAAACCTTATCCCATTTCAGACAAATGGCTGTCCAGTCTCTTCTTAAAAACGTCCAGTGTTGGAGCGTTCACCGCTTCTGGAGGCAGGCTGTTCCACTGGTTAATTGTTCTCACTGTCAGGAAATTTCTCCTTAGTTCTAGGTTGCTTCTCTCTTTGGTTAGTTACCATCCGTTGCTTCTTGTCCTGCCTTCAGGCTGTGCAGAGTTGGAAGGGACCTTGGAGGTCTTCTAGTCCAACACCCTGCCCAGGCAAGACACCCTCAGAGAAAGGATAGAGAAGACCCTCAGCAGGAGACCCTTGAAAAAGGGAAAATTAAAAGAAGAGGGCTCTGCCCCTGGGAGGAGGGAGGACGCAGGACAGAAGGAAAACCTGGGGACTGCTCCAAGTGAATTTGAGAGGCCCTCTCTGAGCTGGGTCGTTTCCTTGCAGACGTTTCATGACCCAACTAGGGAACATCATCAGTGCTAGAAGGGAATGGGGTTTGGGGAGGGGGAGGGGGAGAGGGAGAGGGAGGGGGGAGGAGGAGGACTGTGGGGTCCTTGGTGCTCTCGGAGCTGGGTCGTTTCCTGGCAGATGTTTCATGACCCAACTAGGAAACATCATCAGTGTTAGAAGGGAGTGTGGAAAGAGAGGAGGAGAAGGAGAAGAGGAGAAGAAGAAGAAGAAGAAGAAGAAGAAGAAGAAGAAGAAAGAAGGAGGAGGAGGAGGAGGAGGAGGAGGAGGAGGAGGAGGAGGAGGAGGAGGAGGAGGAGGAGGAGGAGGAGGAGGAGGAGAAGAAGAAGAAGAAGAAGAAGAAGAAGAAGAAGATGATCATCTGTGGGGTCTTTGGTGCTCTCTGAGTTTGGTTGTTTTCCTGCAGATATTTCATGACCCAACTAGGAAACATCATCAGTGTTAGAAGGGAGTGTGGAAAGAGAGGAGGAGGAGGAGGAGGAGGAGGAGGAGGAGGAGGAGGAGGAGGAGGAGGAGGAGGAGGAGGAGGAGGAGGAGAAGAAGTAGAAGAAGAAGAAGAAGAAGAAGAAGAAGAAGAAGAAGAAGAAGAAGAAGAAGAAGAAGAAGAAGAAGAAGAAGAAGAAGAAGAAGAAGATGATCTGTGTGATCCTTGGTGCTCTCTCAGCTGGGTTGTTTTCTTGCAGACGTTTCATGACCCAACTAGGTAACATCATCAGTAGCAGAAGGGAGTGGGGTTTGCTGTACGTTACCTAGATAGGCAATAAAACGTCTGCAAGAAAACCACCAAGAGAGACCAAGGACCCCAGTCCTCCTCCTCCTCCACCACCTCTTCCTCCTCCTCCTCCTCCTCCTCACCTCCACCTTTTCCTCCTCTCTGCAGTCCCCAGTCCCTTCTAGCACTGATGATGCTACCTAGTTGGGTTATGAAATGTCTGCAAGAAAACCACTCAGCTCAGAGAGCATCCAGGACCCCTCGTGTCAACCCTGAGCTGCAAATATTCTCCTTTATTGGTAGAAACGGAATTTTGAAGAGGTGGGTTGCTTGGATGAGTTTTTCCACACGTTGGAAAAAATTCACATTCCACATTTATTCTGGAAGGACGCAGAGGGTTGATCTGGGTTGATCTCGTTCCGGAAGAGGCTTTCCCAGTTGAATGTGAGAAATGGATGCCTCTTCCAGCAGAGATGGCTGCCACCTGCTGCTTCTAGGAGTAAACATTTCCACACTTCCACTCCTCTCCTTAGGGACTACACAGGTAGTCCTCGACTTACGACCACAACTGAGCCCAAAATTTCCATTGCTAAGCGAGACATTTGCTGAGTGAGATTTGCCCCATTTTACGACCTTTCTTGACACCGTTGTTAAGTGAATCACTGCAGTTGTTAAGTGAGTAACACGGTTGTTAGATTGAGTCTGGCTTCTCCATGAACTTCGTCAGAAGATCCCGAAAGAGGATCACGTGACCACCCGAGACACATGCGACCGTCATAAATACGAGTCAGTTGCCAAGGGTCTGAATTTTGATCACATGACCACGGCGATGCTGCAACGGTCGTAAGTGCGAAAAACGGTCATCAGTCACTTTTTCCAGTGCTGTTGTAACTTCGGATGGTCACTAAATGAACTGTTGTTAAGTTCAGAACTCCCTGTAGTTTTGGACACATCTGTACACTTCTTATTCTTCAGAGTTTCGGGTTTTTTAAAGCTTCCCACACAGTGATTTCCTGGTGGTCTCCTCTCCCAGGTTTAACTAAGGGTGACGCTGCTTAGCCCTGGGATGCTAGTTGTGGCCGTGTCTCCTTTTTTGCTGAGGTGTGTTTGCCAATATGGTTTTGCACTCCCACGCAGTGACGCTCGCTGGCTTCAAAATGGATGGACACCACTGGGGGATCGATGCTTTGCCTCTGGTTAGGGTGAGTGCCAGGCACACTCCAAAGGGGCGGGGCTTTAATCTGCCAATCATGCCTACTCTTTGAAAACTACAGGTAGTTCTGGACTTACGATTGCAATTGAGCCCAAAATATCTGTTGATAAGCGAGATAGTTGTTAAGTGAATTTTGCCATAATAATAATAATAATAATAATAATAATAATAATATAAAGTTAAAATTGAGAAGACGGCAACAGATAGTAAGTGCCGCCTATGCAAAAAAGCTGAAGAAACAGTGGACCACTTGGTAAGCTGTTGCAAGAAGATTGCACAGACTGATTACAAGCAGCAGCATGACAAAGTAGCAACAATGGTGCATTGGAAGATCTGCAAGAAATATCATTTGTCTGGAAGCAAAAACTGGTGGGATCATAAAATAGAGAAAGTCATAGAAAATTAAACTGCTCTGGGACTTCAGAATTCAAACAGACAAGCACCTGCAACATAACACCCCGGACTTAACAATTGTCGATAAGAAAGACAAAATAGTCTGGATAGTGGACATGGCAGTGCCTGGAGACAGCAGAATAGACGAGAAAGAACTGGAGAAGATAACAAACTACAAAGACCTACAAATAGAAATAGAAAGACTGTGGCAAAAACAAGCAAGGGTAGTACCAATAGTGATAGGCTCCTTAGGTGCAATCCCAAAACAACTGGAGCACCACTTGAACACCATTGGCATTGACAAATTCTCTATTAGTCAATTGCAAAAGGCGGCCTTGCTAGGAACTGCTTCCATCCTGCGACGATACCTGTAATACCATCAAACATCCACATCTGCCTATCCCAGGTCCTTGGTAAGGACTCGATAGGTAGACAAAATGCCAAATCCAGTCTGAACATCTGGCTGACTGTGCGATGATCGATAATACTAATAATAATGATAAAGTTGGAAGGGACCTTGGAGGTCATCTAGTCCAACCCCCTGCTCAGGCAGGAAACCTATACCATTTCAGACAAATGGCTATCCAGTCTCTTCTTAAAAACTTCCAGTGGGGGAGCATTCACTGCTTCTGGAGGCAGGTTTCCCTTGAATTATATTATATTATAGCCCTTGAATCTCCTTGTGGTCTCCCATCCAAAATGAGCTTGATGAGACCCAATTAACGAAGTTTTAAGAGGCACTGATCTATTTATTTTTTTTAAAAAAATCAGCTTTTGAGAAGTGAATAACCAGCAGTGGTGCATTTCAGACAAAAACAACAGAAACTCCCAGATCTTCAACTCGGAAGCGAACCGAGAACTATTTCCGTATAAACAGCTCAGAAGCAAAAGACCATTATATCCAATGTCTTAAGAATTGCTTAATGGCCAGCGTTGCTAATCAGGGCTGGCTAGGGGAATGGCGTGT